TTATCCAGTTGTTTGAATTCTTCAATGGTGTTTGTATTTTTAATCGTCCCGATCGAAGGATATGAAAATGCTGGCAGGCTGTAACCAAAATATAAATTATATAAACCAATTAGAAAAATATTATTTGAACAGAGTACTAAGGATAAGTGTTTACCGCGAAAAGGATTCGTCATTATCCTCGTAAAAAGCACCCGTTCCGAGGCACAAACGCGCCGGTACTGCGATATTTGCTTCGGTGGAATTTTGTGATTGTAGAAAATGACCAGTGGTGTAATATCCCACAAGTTTCTGTGGGGCATCGTCTAGTTTGTATAAGTCAATTTTACGCGTAGATAAATTATGCCAAAAGGACGCTTCTACGGCAGAGGAGAACGTTACGAATTGGACAAGTGACATTTTTATCTGTCAAAGTTGACATGCATGTGCATTATTTAAAAAGTCAATAGGGCCTTTTAATACATACAACGAATCACATGTTCAAAGTTTCCCAATACTTTGACACGTGTTATATAACACGTCTTTCATTCATTACAAAAAATTAATATTTAACATTTTTTGTTTTTTACGATCCACCAATCATTCGAATTACAGTGTATTTCAAATATCAAAAGCATATTTTTCTTTTGAAAAGAGAAATAAATAATTCTAGGCTTGAACTATAGGATACAAATGATTCAATTAATTCTTAGTTGCGAAGAAAACCTATTTAGGTAATTTCCGTTTTACTGAAATGAAATTTAATAAGCTTTTGTTAAAAAATATCTTTTATTATCTTTATATCTTACTTAATAACAATATGATATTACAATTATTTCACCTCAACAATCTTAAATACTTATTTATTTTCTTTTTTTAAATTTTTTACTTTTCGCTAATATTAATAATATTAAAGAAATTAAGAATATTTGTACTAATATTTTTGTATGTTTTGATTAAAGTTGGTTTTTTTAAATAATTTTAAATTTTTTTTAAAAAATCATTATTTTGAATATCTAATCAAACTATTTTAATTACAACACATAAAATAGTTAAGTTATAATATAGTTGGTTTTCAAAATTTCAAAATTGAGTTGACAATAAATAATTTATATTATATACAATCAAACCTTATTATAATGAATAAGTTGGGATCATAAGACAAAAATTTCAAGAAATTTGATATAATAAGGTTCAATTAGTAAATCTAATATAATGAATTAAATTTGCTATAAATGTTTTTGTACTTACCTTTGATATAGCAGGTTTTTACTTAGTCCTTCAATATAATAAAGTTCAGTATAATAAGATTCAACTGTATACATGTATGTATATATATAGTGAAATTTAATATAATAGAAACATATAAAAATCTTGATATAGTGAAATAGACTTAAAAACAGTTATAATAAAATAATTTTAATATAATGGATTTAATAATAAAATTGTTCTAGAGCTATATTATATCAAATTTTATTATGTATATACTAATCAAAAATTATTTATTTAATATAATATCATTTGTTAATTATTTAACAAAAAAATTTAATAATTCAACAAATTTATCAAATTTATAAAATACAAATTTTAATTATAAATTAATATATATTTTTTATAAATAATTTAATATATAATACTTGTTTTAATATATTTATTTGATTTTTTTAAAAAAATTTGTTTATTAAATCTTTATATTTTATTAAGAAAGTTATTTATTTATTTATTTTGTTAAATTTTATTATATATTGTATATATTTGTTTTATCAAATCTTTATTATATAATATTTATTTTGCTAATTTTTATAATTTAAAATAATAATATATAAAAATATCAGGAAAATTATAAACTCTTTCTGCAAAGTACAAAAATTTTAAAAAAATTTCTTTTTTAGCAACTTAGAAAAACCAAAGAGAATATTCAAAGGAAATACCAGGAAAAACTATCCTCTGAAAAAAAATACTTTGCAATCATCTCTCAAGCAGGAAAAAGACACCAGAACAGATATACACCAAAACTTTACAAACTAATTTCTTTTCTTTTTTTTTTAAAAAATATACAAACAGAAACATACTTGGGACTTCTTATCAGAAAAAAAGAAAAGACAAACAATATAATTTATAATTAAATCAAGAGAGAAAGTCAACATCGCACTTCACAAACTACAGACTAGTTGTGCATTAGATTAGATACTTTTCTAGATATCAGAAGGACCCTGCTTAGCCAAATCATACCCAGTAAACCAGGCAACCTTGTTACTAAAGCAAAGGCCAGAAGGATATCAAAACTTTTTCTTACTGTGACTAAGGAAAGAAAACACCATCCAACCCAAAACAACAATAAAACCAATAATTGTTACGCAATCCAAACACTTAGGAGTAGAAAAAACCAAAAACAGTTTAACCTTTTCAAAAGATCAACAGTTACATGAACGTGTAGCAATAATACATCAATATCAACCAGACATGTCTAAACACATTCACACACGTCCCAAAACTGTAACAACAAAACAACAGCAAGAAACAAAATATATGTCAACACAATACTACTACAATACTACAAATATATAGACATGTGTCAAATAGCAGAAACAATAAAACATGTAACAAACTTGTCAATACAACAAGTACTTTCACAGTAGCATATCGATACAATTAACAAACATGTATCAAATATCAACACCACAGCATACAGCAGCAAACCAGTCTAACAACACATCTATATGCTGACGTGACATCTGCAAGCTACATGACAAATATATAACAGAAACACATAAAAGTATCTAACAACACAGCAATAATAGAACACACCTTTACAAATAAATATACAGCTAGTAAACAAATACATAAACACCCCACGTATTGAACACTCTAAAAACAAGATGTCTTACAGTACAAACACATATGAGGACTCTATCCAATTAGATACAGAAACAATATAAAAACAAGATAAAATTATAGATTATCTGCTTACACTTAAGGATAATCATCATGCTGACAATAAGTTATAGTTCCACAAGATGATCCACAACTGTCTTTACAAAATCAAGATTGAGAAAATTGACCTGGGAATCTTATTCAATATCACCTTGTTAGATACTATCACAGTAAAAATAATGAACATTAATTCCAGGCAAATTGTCAAAGCAGATATCATCTGCAGATATGTAAAGGATCTCTGGAGAAAAAATGAAATGTGTATATCCATACTTGATGAACACATCATCAAAGATCCATCAGACAGATTCACAATCTCCACAATTCTCAGGTCAAGTGAACACAACCTCAAGATAACCATCCAGAATCCATAGTATCTACAGACAACAATTATCCGACACACCAAGAACAACCCTCAAACCAACAAAACCTTCAAGCCCCAGCAAATCAGAATATAGGTCACGTGACACAGACATACTCTTATTCAATTGAGATGGAAATTTTAAACTCTAAACAGGAAAAGCCAACTACATCAGAAATAATTATATCAAATATAGAAGAGATGCAAGAAGCAATCACTTCAAATATTACAAGTCTGCAAGACCAGAAGATGCTTCTAAACACACCATTTGACATCTGGAAAAGTGTAAACTACCAAACAAGAAACAGAACTACACAATCAATTAATTCATATTTCATTACAAAAAAAGGAGCATCATCAGGAAATTTTTTTGATGGAGATCTCCGGAGATCTCCACTCAAAAAAAAATTTTCGAAAATTTCCGAAGAAATCTTCGAAAATCTTCAAAGGTTTTTAAGAATTTTTAATATAGAATTTTTTAAAATAAAAA